GGGGGTTTAAACTAAAATTTTGTAAACAGAACTTTAACCCTTGGTTATTGTTAAAAACCGAGGTTAAAAGTAGTGCAGTTTTGAAAATCCAAAAAATAAAGTTGTTAGGGATCGAACCCAAGACCAATGCCACTTTTTCCCTTGGTTATTCAAAAATCGAGGGGTAAATGTCGGGTTTTCGTGTCACAATTTGTTACCTCGCCTGTGTAACTGAGGTTATATCCCTTTCACGTCCGAGGTGAAATAGGGTTTTGGTAGTAATGTGTTAATCAATTTGATTGTTACAAACTGCTTTAAATGCAATTTCATTTTTGAGCTAACCTCGCGCCTATGAATACATGTCTCATTTCTCATTTCAAAGCATCCAGAATCATGTTTTGACACTTTCATCTCTCACACTCTCTAAACATTTCTTTAACTTTCTGTCATTATATCTATAGCCTATGTGCTTTTGTGAGGAGTGCTTTTATGAGTGAGATCATTTTGTAATTATGGAGTGGGAAGAATTCTAAAATTCACCAAGGGAATCTTTTGTGTGTTAGACGACGGTAATGATCTAGAAGGGGGGTTGAATAGATCACTTATTCTAAACAGAGTCAGCGCTTAAGATAAATTGGTTTTTAAAAGTTTTAAGCGGAAGCAACTGAAAAAATACAATCGTCTAAAACGAACCGTTACCAAAAAGATCGGATATACGCTACGCCTATAGGGAATACCGATAAAGACGAGAAATTAAATTAATAGTTTGAACACAAATCAATACGATTTTGTTTACTCAAAGTTGGTCAATTTCCAATTCTTGTGGAATATAAACCAAATTGAAAAAGATCTCAAATATTTGTATTCAAGCAATTAGTCGAACACTTGGTGTGCAAAACACTCTAAGTAAAATTGAATATGTAAACATAGTGCTAAGCTTTTCTGATTACAATCAAACGGATTGTAATGAGGTTTCTAAAAATGTTTCAGCACTAACATAAATTAGAATTTTAGTCGACCAATATGTTTGCACACAAACTTAAAATTCATCAATGAAAATAGTAAAAAGAGAGAACACCAATTTATTGAGGCAGTTCCCACATCGTCCTCGCTCGGGGTACGTCTGCCCTCAATTCTAAAAATAGAATTGAGACTTGTATATATAACTTGTTGTAAATTATTTTTATAAGAGAAGCAATAGAAATCAAACATTCAATCCCAAACGTTAATGTTGAGCCTATGCCTTCTCTTCCCTTGATTCAAGATGAATCAAGTCCTTCGAATGTGATGAGTAAACCTCCAATTACATCACTACTTTTGAACAACCCTCTGGTCTTCAAATCTTTCCTGACTGATTTTAAACACCCACAATTCGAACCCAAACCTTCCTTCCATAATCCTCTGGTTAATGCTACTAAATTGACAGAACCTTCCGTTCTTCAATTACCTTCGCTCGGCTGAATTTGTGAAGGAACAATTTGTGCAAAACCACCAAAATCCAAGATTCTTTGAGGATAAAACCCTAAAGGTTTTATTCAATAAAAATCCACTGATTTCTCAACCCAAACTCGATACACCGATCCTATGTTTGGATGTTATCACCTCGATGATGCAGAATGCACAACAAAAATGATTATGTGTATTTATTGAGAAAATGCAAGAAAGAGGATGAAGATGATGAGAACCAAATCAATGTATATTTTCACTTTTCTTGTTGTTTTTTTGTTGAAGAATGAGCTAACTCAATATATATGCAAGATTATAACAAAATAACCAACATAACAGACACTTTGAATGATAAACATAACAGAAAAATAATGTGAAATGAGAGAACGGTCGACCTAAAAATAGGGGGTCGACCTGAGCTCCCCCAAATACAGAATTATGCAGAAAAATGCTCTTTACGTCGACCGAAACAGGTTCATGCGTCGATGCAAAGCAACCTAATTTTGACAAATACAAATGCACATAGTATGAGTCGATCGGAGGGTCGACACGAGCTCTCCTGAGAGCAAATCACAAAAATTCACTTATGCATGAGTCGACCTAGGCAAGCTTTGAATCTACTCAAAGACTCAGAACTTGCAAAAATACTTATTTTGATATGTTTAGTTATTCCTAAGTGTTCCTAATGCATATTTAACTCAACCAAGAAGATCAAACTCACATAGATCACATATAGTGCTTTTCCTATATGAACTAAGACACATTTTTGATAAATGCTTGACACTAGAAAAATAACGGATGCATATGTGACTCGATGATACCGTCCAAAGTACACGTTTTTAACTATATATGTTTTGACATCATTAAAACAAGTATAATCAAGTATTGAGACACTTTACCCTCACATTATGTATACCTTGGTTGAATACCGTCCAATTTGGGATTTGTTTTCGATTGGGTATGTCAGTCCTTGTTTAGGTTGGATATTAGCATGTGATAAAATCTCCTAGGTTCTTGGTCGGCCCGATATTAAAACCAATATAGGTTGAAGCTCAACCATGTACTTAAAACCTTCACGAGATCAGTCTAGTGTTAAAATCTCACAAGTTTCTTGTTAGCCCAGTTAAAACCAAGGTATTGAGCTCAAAGGTTATGGAAACTTAAGACCAAACACTCCAAGTTTCATGTTTGTGAAAAGAAGACTAATCACTTCAATCAAACATTTGAGAAAGAAGATTGACCCTTTCACTCTCAAGCTTATTGTGAAGAGAAGACGCAAACGCATACCAATAAGAGTTTTATATGCAGTATGATATGCCTAAAGTGAATCATCGATCTTAGAGGACTAGTCTTTCCTAGAAAGGGAAATTGTCTTCTCTAAAAAGGATTTGATTTCTTTATTAGAAACCTTTACTTAACCACTTATTTATGGATGGTAGGGTGTAGCAATGATATGCCTTACCCCATATTTCTTATGTAAGCTATCAAATTGTTTGACGATGAAATGTGATCCCCCATCACTTATCCCTAGCCTAGGAACCCCAAACCTCGAGAGAATTATTTTTTAAAACTTTTTTATCACCACTCGTGCAACATTTGTTGGAGAAGCAATGACCTTGATCCATTTTGATACATAGTCCACAACCACTAGTGTGTATTCATTTCCCGTAGATAGGGGAAAAGGTCCCATAAAATTAGTCCTTTATGCAACAAAAATCTCAACCTTTAAGATGTTGTTCAAAGGCATTTCATTCCTCTTTGAGATGTTTCTAGTGCACTAGCACTAGTCACACTTCTTTATATAAGCATGGACATCTTTGAAGAGATTTGTCCAATAAAGGCCAGCTTACAAAATCTTTGACACAATTTTGTCAGTGCTAGCATGTTCACCGTAGGTGGAAGCATGGTAGTAAGTCATAACACTCTTAATCTCCTATTCTAGGATACACCTTCGAAAAACTTTGTTGGCGCCTCTCTTAAAGAGAAGATGCTCGTCCCATTAGTAATGTCTAAGGTTAAAGAAGAATTTCTTTTTACGTGAGGTGAAGCTCTGGAAGCAAGGTAGTTAACAAAGTCAGCATACTAAGGCATCTCTTTTTGAATCAACGCAAACAAATCGTCACCCACGAAAGAGTCACCAATAGGTAATTCTTCCTTTTTTGTCCAGTCAATCTTAACACATAGTCAGAGACCACATTTTCTTTCCTTAGGACATGCTGATTTTTATCGCCGGTTTATCAGAGACTTCTCTAAAATCTTCAAGCCTCTAACAGGGCTAATGATGAAAGATAGCGAGTTTAACTTAAATGAATAGTTCCTCGAATCCTTTTTAACACTGGAAATAGTACTGATCTCTGCACCTATGGATTTCAAAGCCGCCAGAACAAAAAAAGTTATAGATTCACGAATTAGAGGAACTTAGACTTGACGCTTATTAAAATGCTAAGTTATACAAAGAAAGAACAAAACGATGACATGACATTGAATCATCTTAAAAGAATTCCATGAAGGAGAGCTTATTTTATTGTTCAATTCTATGTTGAAGTTATTCTCTAAAAAACTTCGTTCTAGATGGTCAAGGTCATTTCACGTAAAAAAAAATAATATCATCAGGTATTGTGAAAATTTATTGCAAATCAACCGGGTCATTCATTGTTAATTGTAATAGGATCAATTGTTAATTTGTGTTTCTATACTCAACAGTCATTTAAAGACCATACATATTCTTCTTGAATAGTGAAGTTTACAATTCTTAAAAGTTGACATTAATTACAAGCACCCTTCTACTCCAGAAATTCTACAAATAAATTCCATTAATCCTAAATAAGATTGGGTTAAATGCAACACAGATAAATGCACCTTCCTAGAAAAAAAATTATGACTATTATTTGACAAAAAAAGAAATGTTAAAAATGCGTGTGGAAAAATATTTTAGTGACCCATTTGATAGTGAGATTATTTCTTTATCATCACTTAATATACAATATGAAATAGTTATTCTGCCTCATTGTCATCCAACTAAATTACTCATTGGCCCCCACCAATGATGTAGGTTACCCCCCAAATCACAAGAAGAAGAAGAAAATAGTTAATCACTATTAGAAAATGCACGAGTCATAACATGTTTCTTCCAAACAAAGTGTGACTATTGAGATAGACAATTATCAACAAAATTCTATAAACAAAAAATATTATGCATGATGAAATACAAACCACATAATAATTAAAACAAGTCAATTTAAACTAAGCATGATATATTAATAATGGAGATTCAAGCAAATAAAGTGTTACATTATATATTTATATAGTACCAAATCATATAATTTTACTATTAACTAGACCTTGCACATGATGTATAGATTAGAATGTTTATTAGGACCCCACTTGATTTAATGTTGAGATATAACAGCAAACAATATTTGTAAGTTTCTCTATGTTTCTTTACATTTGTTCTCATTAATTTCATGTAACTTCTTTATATTATATAAACTATCACAATTTCATTCATTAACCTTATCTTTTAAAGTTGGGCAATCAATTAAAGCTCAAGTTGTTTTCTTCTTCAATATCAAAAGATGAAGGTAAGATCAAGTTTAAGAAATTTAATTGTTTTCTTTTGAGATTGTTTATGCATTGAGAAGTGTTTTTTTTTATGTAGTTACTTGGTTGGATGCATAGGAAATTTCGACAGAATAGTAGTGGAGAACCATTCAAAGATTTGGTCATTGGTAAGTCACATGCTAGAAACTTATATGCATTGAATACTTGAGACATGTCTAGATAAACAACTTTATTTAAGTGCTTATTCTATAAGTGATTATGTATAAAAGATATTTCTAAGATATAACAATTTTAGTAAAAGCTCTCTATATAAAGTCGATTTATAAAATATTTGGATAATCATATCAGTAGTAATGCATGAATATTCGACAATCATATCAATTAATAATTGTGCATGAATATTCAATGGATTCGAACCCAAAACTTCTTACTTATTCATAATAACAAAAAATAAACTAAAATATGATACTTGCATGCAAATCAAGATAGTGAAGTTAGTTACCTATGTTAACTATATTTGAAATATATTGATAAAAATAAATTAACATAAAGAATACATCTTTTAAAATATCTTTTGTTTCAATCCAAAAGAGATGCAATATAAAACTTTCTAAAATTTAAAGGCTGTCATGTTGTCTCTTAAATAATTAAGAGTGATTTTATAGACTTAAAAAAATAGTATGTTTGAGTGTTCTATATCATAATTGATTTTATCTTTATAAATTTTAATATAAAACTTAAAACTTAACATTTTTATCCTTAAATATAATTTTTACATTTAAATTTACGATTTAAATCATCTTAACATAAATAAATCATATCATACAAAATTTTGTCTTAAACTCATCATTAATCTCGAAAGCATCCACACTTATGATCAAAGACATTCCGTCTAGAATGTCATGTTTAATATAATCGTTTGCGTCAACCGTCGTAAAATATTTAGAAGTCAGTCTTTTGTAGTCTATTTTATACGGTCTCAGAGATGGTTACGTGCTTAAAAGTTTCATTTTTTTCATACTAGAATCAATTTTTATGGCTCCATAACCAAATTCTTTTTACCTTAACCTCATGCAACATTTGTTTATGTTAGGGAATTCATGCAATTGCCTCTCAGGCCAATCACAAGATGAAGAACACAACTATCATCAAAAACCAAATTTCGGAATCAAATTCACCAAAAAACCTCAATCCAACACCTTCCGAAAATCCTTCGCCGGCCTAGAATCAACCCGAGAACACCACGAAGAAGAGTTCGGAAGAGAATCCCAAGACGACGCCATGTTCGATCTCTTCCCCGGCTTCCTCGCAATCGGAACCCTAGGATCCGACACACCAACATTCCCAAACAGCTCAGTCCAAACCATAACCGAAAACGAAAACGAAGACGAAGTAACCGAAAACGATCTCAAGCTCATCAACGACGAGCTAGAGAAAGTCCTTGTTGCAGAAACAAAAGACGATGTGATCAGCTACGATTCGTCGAGCCGAAACAGCCATGTCAGCACCGGGAGAAGCAGCCATGTAAGCATAATAACAATAACCGGAAAACCAATTGAAGCAACAGGAACGGGAACAGGAACAGGAACAAGAGATTCATATTCAAATGCTGTTTGTCCTTTACAAGGCTATTTGTTCGGAACAACAGTCGAATATTCTGAAACTGCCGCGGCTAGTGTTGGCGGGAACAAGAAAGAGCATAGAACTTCGCTTGGGGAGTTGTTTCAGAGAAGTAAAATGGCGGAAGAGAGTTGTTTTGGGAAAGATGAGAAGAGAGACGCTGAGAAATATTCTGCTATGAATTTGATGAAAGAGAAAGTGAAGAAGAGAATGTTTCATTCTTGTTCTAAGAATTCTTCTTCTGTCAATGGTGGAAATGGTGATTCTGTTTCACCTGAAACAAAACTCAATAAGGTAAATTTTTATTAAAATATTTTTAAAAATGTGTTTGGATTAAATAATTAAATATTTAAGGATCATGCAAATCAGTGTCCTCAGACACTAGTTAAGAATTCTAAATAAGAAAAATATATTAAAAGTTTGATTATTTCTCTTTTCAGGGCATTGAATACACGTATATTTAGAAAAAAAATGTAATTTCAATCTCTTAAATAATGTCCAACTTACCATTTTAATCTCTTAACCAATGGTCTGAGGACACTCGTTAGCATTTTTCAATATTTAATAATATTGATTTTCGGTTTGTAGATACTCCATATGTTTAGGAAGAAAGTTCATCCAGAAAATTCAACAAGTGGACACAAATCTGGTAAACATAAAAAGAATGAGAGCAAGAAGAAAATGATGAATGATGGAGGTTTCAACAAAGGCTACCTTGTTCATCCAGATGAAGATTCATCTTCTTACAGGGAGCATTGGATCAAAACAGATGCAGATTGTAAGTATATACATGAATATCATTTAACAAATTATTCAAAATTATCTTTATTTATTTATTTAATAATTTACTCAAAATTCATTTTAATTAATCAATAAGAAAGTTAATTAATATTTTTAATTTTTAATCAATTAATCAAAATATCTTGAAGAATATCTCATCTTTAAAGAGGTAGCCAATCGATAATAAATAGTTAGTTAAGTATCAAAGTATTATTTCTTGTTTAAAACCCTACTTTGAGGCTGGAGCCCATATAGGTTACATCTAGCATAGCACTTTTAGCAACCCTATTACAAGTATTTGTTTCTTCTCACTTGGTTTTTTCCCTGCAATGCAGATTTAGTTCTAGAGCTTTGAAGAGAAATGAAGATATTGAACTGTTTCAAGCTGTTATCCTCTATTAGTAATGTGTAATGTGGTGTTTGTATTTATATATTGTGATCTTATAATTCATCACTACTGTTTGTGACAAATGCCAAACTTTTATCTTATAATATGAAGCAGTTTGGGTTGATAAATGAAATAATAATTGAGGTAGTCATTTCCAATGTCTTACCTCATTGTGTGTATCTATGAAATGGATGGTTTATCTATAATAAATTAGATATTGAGTTGACAATATATATATATATATATATATATATATATATATATATATATATATATATATATATATATATATATATATATATATATATATATATATATATATATATATATATATATATATATATATATATATATAAAAGATCGATTTATTTTAAAAGTAAATTTTTTTAATTTACTTTGTATCATAACTTTTAAATTGAATATAACCTACCGGTTAAATTAACATTTTTATGTATAATCGTTTAATTAAATCTAATTTGAAGACTAATTGTGGAGTAAATTATAAAAACTTACTCTAAGAGTAAGTGGATCATTACTCTTTTATATATATATATATATATATATATATATATATATATATATATATATATATATATATATATATATATATATATATATATATATATATATATATATATATATATATATATATATATATATATATATATATATATATATATATATATATATATATATATATATATATATATATATATATATATATATATATATATATATATATATAAAAGATCGATTTATTTTAAAAGTAAGTTTTTTTAATTTACTTTGTATCATAACCTTTAAATTGAATATAATCTACTGGTTAAATTAACATTTTTACGTATAATCATTTAATTAAATCTAATTTGAAGACTATAATTGTGGAGTAAATTATAAAAACTTACTCTAAGAGTAAGTGGATCATTACTCTTTCATATATATATATATATATATATATATATATATATATATATATATATATATATATATATATATATATATATATATATATATATATATATATATATATATATATATATATATATATATATATATATATATATATATATATATATATATATATATATATATATATATATATATATATATATATATATATATATACTCTTAGTAATGATCCACTTACTCTAAGAGTAAGTTTTTATAATTTACTCCACAATATATATATATATATATATATATATATATATATATATATATATATATATATATATATATATATATATATATATATATATATATATATATATATATATATATATATATATATATATATATATATATATATATATATATATATATATATATATATTGTGAGATGTTAGATCGAACTTTAGTATGGTCGAAGGGTAACTTCTGGTTTGACAGGAATTAAGCATGAGGCCGAAGTCTGTTCGCATGCTGCTGTCGAAGATAATGCGTGTTGTAGTTGAATTTTGTTCTAACATGCATTAGTCAATATTACTAGGTTGTTAGTATATTGGATTGGATCTTGCTTGTAAGTCCAGTGTTTAAGTTAGCATGTACCCTAAGTAAGCTTGTAATGGATAATTGTTAAAAAGCCCAGTAGGTTAGTGTGCTATTTTTCTTATAAATAGGATGCTAGTTTCTCAATCTTGGGATAAGGAAAAATATTAAGATAAAATCCTAATTTCAAGAAAGAGAGGTTATTTTGTCATTCTTGTATACTTGTAATCTTGTTCTAAGATTAAGGAAAGAATAGCAGTTTATAACGATTCCTTGTTGTTTTACCTTGTTTTCTTTGTTAACCCTAACCCTTTTGTGTTTCTTGATCATAAAAAAATTGTTTATACTTTGTTTCAAGACATCTGATTCACAACAAATTGGTGCGGTGAGTGTGGAGAAGATGCCTTCAACAAAGTATGAGATTGAAAAGTTCACCAGAGTGAACAACTTCGGTCTGTGGCGCTTGAAGATGAAAGCCCTATTGGTTCAGCGGAGTTGTTTGGAAGCGTTGAAGGGTGAGGCAACCATGGACGCTGCGTTAACGGCAAAAGAAAAAACGGACATGATAGAGAAAGCCTGCAGCGCAATATTGTTGAGCCTTAGTGATAAGGTTCTTCGACAGGTGTCAAAGGAGACTACAGCATCGGGATTATGGGTGAAACTTGAAAGTTTGTACATAACCAAATCTCTGGTGAATCGACTCAACCTGAAGCAAGCTTTGTATTCATTCAAGATGAGTGAAGACAAAGTGTTTGCTGAGCAGTTGGATATGTTCAACAAGCTGATTCTTGATCTTGAAATATTAATGTGAAGATCGATGATGAAGATCAAGCATTATTGTTGTTGTGTGCTTTGCCCAGAACACATGCTCACTTCAAAGAAACTCTCTTGTATGGAAGGGAGTCTCTAACCTTTGAAGAAGTTCAATCAGCCTTGTATTCTAAGGACTTGAACGAACAAAAGGAGCATAAACCTTCGATGGTGGGCGAAGGTTTGACCGTTAAGGGAAAGTTCTTGCGAAATGATGGTAAGTTCGACAAGAAGAAAGGTAAAAGTCAAAAGAAATCTTATAGTGGTGACACATCTGGTATTCGATGTTATCACTGTAAGAAGGAGGGTCACACAAGAAATGTGTGCCCTGAACGCCTGAAAGATTATGGAGGTAATGGCAGCGCAGCCATTGTTCAAGATGACTTTGACTCATCTGATGTTCTTGTGGTTTCAAATGCCGACTCGAGAAAAGAGTGGATTATAGATTCAGGTTGCACTTGGCACATGACTCCAAACAGAGAATTGTTCGAGGAGGTATGTGATTAAGATGGTGGATCTGTGCTGCTGGGAAACAACAAATCTTGCAAAATTGAAGGTATTAGATCTGTGAGACTCAAGCTTCATGATGAGTCAATAAGGTTATTGACTGAAGTCAGGTATGTACCTGACTTGAAGAGAAATTTGATTTCTCTTGATGAATTCGACAAAAAGGGATACGTTTTTGAAGGAGAGAAAAATATCATAAGAGTCATGAAGGGGTCAAAGGAAGTCTTGAGAGGCGTAAAGAAACAAGGCTTGTATACCCTTGAGACCGAGGTTGTAAGTGGTTCGACAAATGTTGCATCTGTCGCGGTGAGAATTGGATATCAAATTATCGATTAACTTGAATCACAAATCTTAATTCACCACCGGTCTTTAATTTATCCAAGAGAAGGGAAAAAGAGAGAATAGCCCAAAATATGCAATGAAATGCAAAGCAAAAGAAAATCTAAGGTTCGTGGGTGGGTTATACCTTGGGAAGATGTTAGCATCCTAAGCATCTGTAGTACTCTACAAAACCTCTTGTTTTATATTGTGTTATTGTCGTTGGCTAAGGGTGAAAGACCTAGGGGTTTATTTCTAAGTATATTCGCCAAGACATCGCATCTTGTGCCTACGTATCCTGACGGGAGTGGAATTAGAGCATTCGTAGTCTCCCTCAAGGGATTGAGGAACTCTTGACTATGGTCAAGGTTCCAGGGGGAGAGGTAAGTATCTATGGCAGAACACCTACATAGAGTTCAAAAACTCTAAACTTAAGGTTAGGTTGAAAGGGAGGTAAGTGTTTTTATTAAGGTTTTCGAAACAGATTAGAAATATGATTAAAGTATTTTTGTATTTTTTAGAAAAGAAAGAGATTTTAGCTTTAAGGAAGAAAAAAAAACTCGATAAAAGATCGAGGTTTGAACTTGCGTAATGGTGATTGCAAAAGCAGCCGAATTATGAGGGAAGTAACCACTTGACATTGGATCAAGGGTTTGAAAAAAATTTAGGTTGATTTCTAGTCCCTAAGGATACTCCTAGTAACGAAACCACAATCAAAGAAAAAGTGTAAGTGTGTGCATGATGTTGATGGCAATGCTAAAAAACGGTTGACTTACAAGTTAAGGTATGACTTGATATATGAATCAAGAATGTTTTGGGTTTGGTTGATGGCGGTCGTAGAAACAATCGACTTACAAAGGTGTTTTGAAAAGTGGCTCAATATTGAATCGAGAATTAGTATGAAAATGATTTGAGCGTGTAAGTGAGAGATGTATAAAAGATTAAAATACAATCAAGATGAAAGCGATAAAATTATTACACTTAATGGGAACAGGGTACATTTTGTCGGATGGGGATGAAATGAAAAGATTATAAGTAAACCTAATTAAAGAAATAAGCGCAAGCACGAAAATAAAATGAGCTCGTTAGTTTTGACTTGAGAAAAAGTGTCTCGACGTTGGATCGAGTATTTATTATTTATTTTTTTAAAAGAGTTGATTTTATATTTTTTTTGTTGTATTTTATCTATTATTCAATTAATTATCTTTTCTAGCTAATGGAAAATAAAAGCAATAATGATAATTAAATAATCACAAACAAAACAAATAAATAATAAAATTCAACAATCCACCTAAATCTATATAAACAAAGTAAAAGAAAATCAATCACAAACATTAAGATAAAATGCTTGTTATATTTTTTTGATAAAATTTTGTCATTTTTTAATTTTAAAAATGTTTTGTTTTGATAAAAAGACCAAAAAAGATTTCTAAACACCTAACATATTAATAAAAAGATTTTTTAAAACTAAAACAAACAAAATTAATAAAAAGTTTTATGAACATAAAACAAAAGGGATAAGAGAAATCTATCACAAACATAGGATGAACGATGCTGAATGCGTGCATGATTGCGGATGTTTCGATTTGTTATTTAGAGACTTTCATGGTGCTTTGCAGATTTGTTATGAGCTTGAAAGAAAAACGGATTTGTTGTTGTTATTCATAGGCTTGTGTGAAGATGAAGTATGACCTCTCTTTTATTTATTTATTTATTTTATTTTAACGAGAGAGAGAGAGAGAGAGAGAGAGAGAGAGAGAGAGAGAGAGAGAGAGAGTGCAATGAGGGGATAGAGGTTTTTTTTTGTCTCTTTTTTGTGTGTCATTGCTTGTTTTCTCTAATGC